ACAAAGATCCTTTGGTTACCTCTTCTACAGACCTAGTGATAATGTGGTCTTTGTAGCAAGAAGAGGAGTATTTCGAGAGCGAGAATTTATAAGCCAAGGAGACATTGGGAGGCAAATTGACCTTGAAGAACTTCAAGAGTCAAGCGGTGAAGGAACTTCAATCCCTAGCCCTCAACTTGAGGAGGAAAGTCCTGTTGAGCCAATTGACGAGTCTGTACCTCTGAGGCGTTCCACGGGAGTTAGGAATACACCTGAGCATTACTATGGTTTCCATATTACTGCGGAAGGTGAGACACTTATTAGTGATGAGACACTAGTAGGTCTGGATGAACGTAACAGCTACGCGGAAGCCATGGCAGGCCCCGAGTCTGCGAAATGGAAAGAGGCTATGGATAGCGAGATACAATCCATGTATGAAAATCAAGTTTGGAACTTGGTTGAGAATGTACCAGGTCGTAAGATTGTAGGGTGCAAATGGATCTTCAAGAAGAAGACCGGCATGGATGGTAATGTACACACTTATAAGGCTCGACTGGTTACAAAGGGCTTCTCTCAAATTCCTGGAGTGGATTATAATGAGACCTTTTCTCCAGTAGCCAAGATTAAGTCTATTAGGGTTATGTTAGCCATAGCTGCATTTCATGACTATGAAATTTGGAAAATGGATGTCATAACCACTTTCCTTAATGGAAAGTTGACTGAAGATGTTTACATGAGTCAGCTAGAAGGTTTTGTTAGCAACGAGTACCTTAATAGAGTGTGTAAGCTTGAGAAATCCATTTATGGATTAAAGCAAGCACCTCGCAGATGGAATCCTTTCTTTGATGAAAAGGTCAAGGAATTTGGCTTTTCTAGGAGTGAAGATGAATCTTGTGTTTATGTCAAGGCTAGTGGGAGTATAGTTAGCTTTTTGGTATTGTATATGGATGACATACTACTCATAGGAAATGACATCCCAACTCTGTAGGAAGTTAAGTCCTGGCTTGGGAAGTGTTTCTCTATGAAGGACCTAGGAGAAGCTGCCTATATTCTAGGGATAAGGATTTTGAGAAACCAGAGTAAAAGACTAATTGGACTTAGTTAAAGTACATACTTGGACAAGGTGTTGAAGAGATTCAACATGCAGAACTCCAAGAAAGGAGAGTTACCCATCCAGAGTAACGCCAGATTGAGTAAGACACAAAGCCCATGTACCGAGGCTGAGATAGCGGAAATGAGTCAAGTACCTTATGCTTTAGCAGTAGGATCAATCATGTATGCTATGATGTGTACTCGACCTGATGTAGCTTTTTCCTTGAGCATGGTTAGCAGGTATCAGGGGAATCCTGGCAAGGCACACTGGACTGCGGTAAAGAATATCCTCAAGTACCTACGGAGGACTAAGGACTGGGTCCTTACCCTCGGTGGGAGTGATGACTTGAGAGTTATAGGGTATAGTGATGCTAGCTTCCAGACTGATAAGGATAATTTCCGCTATCAGTCGGGTTGGGTCTTTACCTTAAAGGGAGGAGCAATCACTTGGAAGAGTTCCAAGCAGGAGACAGTGGCTGATTCCACTTGTGAATCAGAGTATATAGCAGCGAGCGAGGCAGCAAAGGAGACAATATGGCTAAAGAACTTCATTGGAGACCTTGGAGTTGTACCAGCTATAAAGGAGCCCATGGAAATTTTCTGTGATAGTGAGAGTGCGGTTGCCTTAGCCAAGGAACCAAGGGATCACGGGAGATCTAGGCACATCGATAGAAAATATCATTTTATCAAACATCACATAGAAGAAGGAATCTTCGTGGCAAAGAGGGTATCATCGGATGAGAACCCAAAAGATCCCCTCACGAAGGGACTGAGTAGGGTTAAGCATCTCCAGCATGTTCGGAGCATTGGGCTGAAGGATGATATAAGTTTTAGTAGTTAGATAAATTATGAAATTTGTAAAGTGTAATTGACATTTGATGATGAATAAAAGTTGTGTTTATTTATGAGTAAAGTGTTACTATCTTTTGTCAATCGTTTACTATAATTTCTTTTGCATGTTTTGACTTCCAGAATAATTATGTTATATTATTATTCAAACCTCCACAGTCGGTCATATGTCGGAAGTAGGTATGAATCAAGACTGCCATGATTGGTTGCAGAGGTCTAAGGTGGTGGACATGGCTACAACAATCATGAGTGCTCATAACTTTTGAGCATTGGACACAACTCACGCTCACTAGAATCACTTTTCTTGGAATTTTTCTTGAGTGCTCGTGAGACGGTAATATCATATAAGTCTTCAAACCTACAGATATGATTTGTTACTTACGAGTTGGTTATGCATTGATTGTACGAAAACGCATTGGTAACTCGATGTTATAAAATGTGCTTTTGTGTGTAATTCAATGAGTGGTAGAACAAACATATGATTCGAAGTTTATCTGTTCCTTCTTGGATTAGAAGCTGATATTTGGGCCCCTCGATGATTTTGTTTTGACCTATGTACCGGGCCCGGTCAGAATAAGTTCTTTGTCAAACAAATCGAAAATCGGGAAACAAACTGCTGGACAATAAGTAAGACATTGTTCCATGTATTTGTCGTGCTGATATTTAGAACAGAGGATTATATGATCACTTATCTTAAATGGCGTATCAACATCTTCTCAGTTCCGAGAGACCTTGAAAGAGCTACGATTGTTGATCGGTTCCTGAAGTATTGCAGTTATAGTTATTAGACTTATCCAAGTGGGAGACTATTGGATAAGGTGTCTAAGTCCATAACTATTTCTGGTAAATACTTGACCCGACCCGTCATGGTCCATTTGGGTTGCATGGCACCATGCAATTGGATAAACTAAATGAGAGAAATAACACATATGGTTTATTAATGTAGTATAAGTTCTAATATATTAATAATATTATTTAATTAGTTTTGATCAAGAATTAATTTAGAATTAATTAAGTGATCAAAAGAATAACTAATTAAATATATGGGTAGATTATATGAATCTTCCATATCTTATATAGTGGGCTAAAAGGCTCCATGGATTATCAAGTTGGGTTCTACCCATAAGGTGCTCCATGGATGCCCCATGGAGTTAACCCATGGATTGAGAAATGAAGAGTCATGTTACATTAGGGTTTTACCTAATGCAACACAGTATATAAGGACCATGTCTCTCCCCAAAATCAGCTACACAAGAGAAACAAGAGGGCTTGGCCGATTTTGAGTGTGTTAGAGTATTCTCTCAAGTTTATACTTTGCATTTGGTGTTGTGTGAAGCATTTGAGGCATCACACTTGAGGTGCTAGGCTCACAAGGTTTCAAGGAACACTTTCAACAACAAGGTATGTAATTCTATCTATTATTTATTTTAGAATTGTTCCCCATGTATGCTAGATAGGATCATAACCTTGGAAATCAACTTTGCATGATAATTAGACAAACATAGATCCAAGGTTATTAGGGTTGCATGTACACTTAGGAAGTGTTAGAATACTCAAAACCCAATAGTTATATGATATGTTCTATGCATGCCGAACTTCAGTCCGATGCCGGGGCAAGCCCAATGTTGGGCGGGGCCCAATGTCGGGTAAGCCGATAACGGGTGGGGCCCGATGCAGTGGGCTAGGCCCAAGTCATGTTTATGTTATTTGCATTATTGATGTGTTTATATGTATACCAGATTTCGGTCTGATGTCAGGCAGGGCCCGATGTAGCGGGCAAGGCTCAATGTATGGTATGTGGTAGTTTGGGGAGACTCACTATGCTTCGTGCTTATAGTTTTCAGTTTTGGTTTTAGGTACTTTCAGTAGAAAAGGGAAGAGCTCAGGATAATTGTAGTGTAAACACCATTTGTCTAGCCTGGGATGTTTATACTCTGAGATATTTTGACAGATGGTATGATATTTCAAGTTACGCTATTTATGATTTTTATATGAGGATTAATGACTACGGTTTTCTTAACAATTTAAAACGAAAATTTTGGACTGTATTTTTGGGATGTTTTACCATTTATGGATTAATGGAATGGGTAAGAAAGTCAATTATTAATTGGGTGTCGTTTGTTTTATAGAACAGGGTTTTTAGCGGATCTGCAGTCAGAGATTATTCGCGAGTTTAGTTGTTGAGATGAATTTTCCTCACTGTACTTGCGGGTCAAAGGCACCAATGTCGACCCTTTGGATTGTTATCCTGGTTTATCGTATGGTTGCATACTGTGGTGATCTGTATCTTGGTAGATAGGATGATGTTATGCTTAGTGATATGTTAGATCTGCCTATTATCTATTCAGGTTATATTGTTAGCTGTTATATGCTGCCAAAGTGTGGGTGGGTTGAGACTGCACTGCTTTGTGCTATCACTCAACAAGCTCGAAAATGTTTATATCAATATATTGTTATGATTTATTGGGCTTACATGTGTTTTTGGATATGTATATGTGGAGATGTTGTGTGGGGTTGGGTTGAGGTGGGCCTGCTATGTGCTGAAGGCCAACAGACCCAGGGTGTCCCGGATAGACTGAAGGCTAGTAAGGTGTACCAATCAGGCCAAAGGCCTGGAGAATGTTCCAAATAGGTTGAAGTCTTGGTGAGGCGTACAAGTCATGTTGAAGGTTTTGTGAGCGTACCAGATAGACTGCATGCCGGAGGGGAATTCCAATCAAACTGAAGGCTTTGTGGGCGCACCATTTTGAAATAATAACTTAAAGATCGACAGATTCAACAACAATAAATTGAATCAAACTATAAGAACAATGATCAAAGTTATGCCGAATACTTAATATTATCAAATATTTAGAAGAGTTCAGTGAGAACTTTCCTGTAAAAGCAATGTAGGGCAACACCATCGATTACCCTAGAATGATAAATGCATGTACTATAAATAGTCTAACCCTAGCACCAATCTGTTAATAAAGACTAAATACATACATAATAAATTTGACACAATACAATAAATAACATAACAATCTCCCTTTTTGTGTCAAATAAAGAAAGGATATTCTTTATTGTTGTACTTTCTAAACCTAGAACAACTTCGTCATCATATTCAGAAGAGTATTTTGGAGCATGAGATACCACTTGATCATATCTATGAAGCACTTCAAATCATCAATGTTATTTGACTTGGTGGCTACTACCATACCAAAAATGTTGTTCAAAGTAGTTGTGTGGTATAAATGCTTCTCAAGTAAGAAAAACATGCTTTTCACAACTTTTTCGCCTTCTCTTCGTTGATACACAACGTTCTGGTTTTCTTTATTAATCTTCCCTAGTTTCAGCTTTTGAAAGTCCCGTGGTTCTGGTTTTAGATTCACAATAGGCTTCTTTTTCAAAACATCGGCAATTTCTACATCCATCTTTGCCACTTCGTGAATGGAGCATATCAACATTTTTTTAGGTGAGAAATCATTGGTTCAAACTTTTTTTCATCTTTAGATAAAAGCAAAAACAGAGAGATCCAATCGTTCGGATTCATACAAGGCAAATCTGCAAGAGTGAACTCGACTTCGATACAACTTGATCCTCTGAAACCTTTAAACCTGACATTTGTGAACTTCTCAACACCAAAAGTTGCATAAATCTAGACTGCGACCAACTTCTGCAAGCTCCAAGTATGTAGTTTAGGCTTTCCATACTTAATGTAGAACGAGAAGAGCATGTGATTTACATCATAATCTGAGAGTGGTGCTATCTCAATATGCTCAAAGCATCTGAGTAAGAATGCTCTCAGACTACCTGGAAAGTCAAACTGAGACTCTACTGAATTCACCAGATCCAAAGAAACTAAAGGCTCCAACCAATACAAACTTGGATTGTTGATAGCCTCATTCTGAATCCTTTCCATGATCCATATAGGAAAAATAGACTATTGTGTTTTCAAACTAAATTTCGTAGCCATAGCCTCCATTTCTTGAGCTTCAAGTTCTTTATGAACGCGCTTAATTTCATCTGTCTCTTTATCCCTTGTTTTCCTGATATGCTTTTCTCCTTCAGATAACACCTCTTCTTCCTCATCATCACTGATCATTTTTCCTTTATCTTTTGACCAAGAAGCTTCATTACCCTTCTGGTTAACTTTGGTTTTTTTTCTTTATGATGTTCATCGGATTTTGCCTTAAACTGGGGTTGGGGTTCTTCTTTGCTAGTTTCGTTAGTAACCTGATCTCGCTCTCGTTTCGAAAGAGCACTACTTCCATAAACACCCTCTAATTGATTAAGAAATGTAAAGACCCGCATGAGTTTATCAGAGAGATGCTAGGGATCATTGAATCGCGATTTTCAACAAGACTGTGCAAGTATTGATTGATGTCGGAAATACAGCTTCGGTATAAAGTCTTCCCGGATTCAAGGTGATCCAAACACATTGTGGCGTAATTCAATTTAACAGAGTGAACCTTGACTTTTTCAGTCTTCTGATCAAATTTGTCCATTATTATATTTTCAGCTGCTAGATCCTCTTAAAGCTTTTCAATCTTGGATACAATCGAAGCGCTCCTATCGGCATTATCAACCTTGAGTGTAGAACGAACCTTAGATAGAGCATCTTTTTCAAGTTGAAGGGAGGTTCTGAGACCTGCGATAGATTTATTTGCAGCTTCAATATTTCGATCCAAAGAGGTTTGAAAGTCTGCTATGAACTTTGTAACATCAGTAAGTAGTTTTTCGACTTTTTGGGTCGTTTCCTAAATGGTTTTCTCAGAGCTTTCAATAGCTTTTGCGGAGTCCACGAGGTTTTTAGCTTGCTCCTTCGTCAATGTGTCAACTACTACTTTATGAGACTAAAAAAAATAATCATAATTTGACGAATATTTGGAAGACTATATTAGAGAATCAATTTTTTTTATTGAGGGCTTTGAACTGCCCTTTCATCAGTAGAGCATTATCATCATCACTTTCTTGATGAACTGTGAAAGTAGTAAAAATGAATTCTTGAAATTTGTCATGTTTATATCCAAAGACGATGTTAGGATCATATTCTCTTAAAGGTGAAGAGGTAGAAATGTTTGCACCAACAGTGACACCGAAATCAGTTTCCCCCGTATCAGATACGTTGACATTCGACATCAGAGTACTGATGGTGGTTGTGGTTGTAGTGGAATTGGTATATAGGGGAGTAGATAAAGGAACATATATATGTGGTTGAGAAACACCAACATAAATCTTGGGTAACGGAGTAATGGTGATAGGTGTAGTGTTTGTGATTGGGGATGAAGTGGTAGTTGGAGAAGGTGGAGGTGTAGGCATGTTAAAGAAATCATCAGTTAAAGGAATGGAAGTGGAAATAGGAGAAGATACCTTCGGAGTAGATTCAGTTAGAGTACGTTCCAAGAACAACGGTTCGGAAGTAGCTGTTGTATTTTCTATTTCATTTGTAACAGGTTCACTCCTCCGAACGTCTGAAACGGTATGTGATTCCGAATCCTCCTTGGTAACTGGAGAAGGAGAGTTTGGTTTCCGAGCAGCCTTCTTAACTCTCTTCTTAAGAGTTGTGACAGGTTCGGAAGGACCTGTCTTGCTCTTTCTTTTTTCCCCACATTTAGGTTTGTTTGACTCATCAAGATCTATTCACATTTCATCAATCATGAGACGAGGACCTGATGGAGGTAGCTTCCAATATACTATGATAAGAGCGTTGGCCTGAGGCACCCTTGCGAGCATAACCTCTGGAATTGATCCAATGAAGCTAAACTTTGTTGGTTCAGACACAATAAAGTTAGAATTATGCAAGATTGGAAGCACAACCATCATAGAGTTATCTGTCAATTGAATATTGAGGCGAGTGATAGCACGCTTGACGATAACGGACTAGAATCGAGCAGAACAAATCTTTGAATGCCTGGTGGTGGAGAGGGTGCTCTAAACCAGTTGTGCCCAAAGAATTGAATCGTAATCAAGGTTAATTCTTGTGTACCAACCATAGATAATAGTGCAAAATAGTTTGTTGGAACTATCAGACCCTGTGACACGTTTAGAAAAGCTTTTAAATTACAAAGTGAAAAGCCCATTCCACATAGGAGGAAGATTGGGCTTCCTGAACTCTGATAGTAGAGTGAACTTTTCAAGATACCCCATTTGAAAGAACATCCTGATAAACATTGATGAAGAAATCGATTCACGGTTGATGGGACCTTCTATAGAAGTAAACCCTAACATACTGCAAAATCGGGCCTTACAGATGGAGGTTTTGTTGGAATTGAATTCAAAGGTAATCACGACTTCATTCAGGTTGTAGATTACTAAGAAGTAAGACCTGGATAGATGAACCAAAGGAAAACACTCAACCTAGTTAGGGCTTGTGTTAGTGGAGAACAACGCATGCATTCGATCATCGATTTGAGAGAATTAGTGTATTTCGAAGAATCGAGATCTATAGTCATATTCTTGTTTGGTTTGATGTTCAACATGACCAAGGAACCATTTTTTTAAAGCAAAAGATGGGGTTTCAGGAAATGCAGCCATGGAAGCAAGTTGAGACGATAATTAATAGTGTAGAGAGAGAAGAGGGTTTTCCTCTTGAGAGATTTTGAAAGTGGTGAGAGAAAATCAATCGTCTATTTACCCTTTTATACATCATGAGTAGAGAGAGAAAAATGCCTATTGACGCTTCTATATCCCGTAAAAGGTGCTTGGATAGACGTGACATCTGTAGATGTTAGGCGGCGTTACAACTGACCACGCGTGATGTCAGGCATTTTGAATTTTATGTGCCTTTAGTGAAACCTTATCCCCAAAGAAAAATGTCGTTTCACTGCTGCTCTTTCGGACTTAGACACCAATCATCATAACTAGTTCTCTAAATTTAAAGAATCCATTCAGAAATTTGAATCCAGACTTTTGAAAAATCGCAAGGAATGTCTTGCAAGAGTGTGCCAAAGATAAAGAAATAAAGAAAATAATATCTATGGAATTATGTGATGTCAACTAAAAATTGACTTGAAAACAGTTGGATCCCGAGCAACGATCTCTTCCTTTGGAGTCAAGAGAGATTTAGAAGTGCTTGTATGGTTTCTTGATAAATTACGATCAACTATTTGTTAAGAAATAGTTAAGGGCATCTTTTGAGAAGGTTTCAAGGGTGGCTTTAGCTTTAACCAAATTCCAAAAGTCAACATAAGTCCGAAAGTTTGGAAAAAGTACTTGTCTGATTGATGTAGCCAAAATAATAAGTATTCTTTGGATTTATTTAAGTGGTTGGATAGAATAGAAATCTCAAAAAAAAAAAAAAAAAAACAGTTGGATCTTTTGAGAAGAAAAGTCTTGGGTCGAGAGCTTTTCATTAAGATCACTCAAAAATAAAATTGAGATTTCAAATGAGAAAGGTACAAACATAAAGGTCTACTCGTCAATTTGGGGGTGAACATTGCTAGAACATCTTCATTGTTCACTGTCAATTCAGAAGCTCGTTTCAGATTTTGGGTTTCACTCAAATCGTGGTAATAACGATTGTAAGATCATAAACACAGATGTTGTGTAACCATAAACATCAGTGGTAATTGGTAAGAGTCTCAAGGGTTACGCTTATGAATATGAAAATCATGAAGAAATATTAGAGATGGTTCCGAAGAGAAAAGTGTACATCTGCTATTAAATAATGACAATGCAGTCAACTCTTAACTTAATGTGAGAAGAGTAAGGCACCTCAATGACCTATGTGATTAATTAGCCTGATTGGGAAGAAATGATCAGAATAATAGTTTCATTAAGGCTTTAACATAGAGTCTCATAGGATTGGGTCAACATGTAGCAACATGTTTCTAGGGACACTTAGCTAGTACAAAGATTCATAATTTTATACCTGCCCCGTCGTTCTGAATTGAGATAACAAAAGCGTACCTAAGAAAAGAACACCTTCATAAAATAAAATAAATATGTTTGTATTTTTTATTTTCTGAAAAAGATAAAACATAAATAATAAAGACAATATTTTTGTATTTTTGATTTTCTGAAAAAAAAAACAAAACCATAATTTAAAATTCAGAAACACAAATGAACAATCTCTTTCGAAGCATTCCAAAGCTTGGAATTAGTTGGAAGAGACTTAATATACAAAGGATACAAGATATTCCGAATCACCAAATGAACAGTGGATTCTGAGGCGTTCTAAGGGTTTAGAGCAGTTCGGAACATGAGCAGTAGATTACGAGGCATTCTGAAGGCTCGAAATAGTTCATAATAAGAACTTTTGTTTTCTCTACTATGCAGTTTTCGGTACATAGTCCACTTCTATCATTCCTAAGCCTTGTAGAATTTGACTAAAGGTTGGTTCAGGTAAGGCTTTTGTAAAGATATCTTCCAGTTGATCAGAGGATCTTATAAAGGGTACTTCAACATTTCCATCTTCTACGTGATCCTTAATGAAATGATATCGTAGTGCAATATGTATCTTTTTGGGTGTTGCATTGGGTTATAACAAATCCGAATTGCACTTTCGGAATCACAATAGAGAGGAATCATCTTCATATTTATCCCATAATCTTGAAGTTTATTCTAAATCCATACATATTGAGAAGTGCATGATGCAGCCGTGATGTATTCGGCTTCTGTAGTAGATAGGGATACACATGTTTGCTTCTTTGATTGCCAACTGACAAGTTTGCCATCTAGAAACTCCCCCACCCCCCCCCCCCCCCCAAGATTGCTTTTACGATTGAGACCACATCCACCAAGATCAGCATTAGAGAACGCTTGAACGAAGAATCCGAAGTTAGAAGGATACCATATTTCGAGAGAGGCTGTTCATTTTAGGTAAAGGAAGATGTTCTTTACAGCAGTCATATGTGGTTCACGTGGATTCACCTGAAACCTAGCACAATAACAAACGAAAGACATGATATGTGGATGACTAGTTGTTAGGTACAATAAAGACCCGATCATTTATCGATAAAGAGTCATATCCATTGCTGGTTTGTCCAAAGATGGTGTAGGCTTCGTTCCGAATGCCATAAGAACCTTGACCTTTAAATCTCTCACCATTCCAAATTTTGCAAGCAATGACTTTCTATAGGCTTGCTGGTTGTTGAAAATACC